TTTTTATGTAGTCTAGATAAAGGTTTGTCAATTTCGTTTGTATTCAGAACCCTTAGTTTTGTTTATCTTTCTACTGTTTTTCTAGTCTCTATTTTATTTGTTTCTGCTCTGATCTTTGCTGTTCCCTTCCTCTGCTAATTTGGGGTTTAGTTTGATCTTTTTCTAGTTCCTTCAGGTGCAACATTCGTTTTTTTTGAGACTTTTCTTCTCTTTTAATGTGGGCCTTTACTGCCATAAACTTTCCTTTAGAACTGCCTTTGCTGCATCCGGAAGTTTTGGTGTCTTCTGTTTCCAGTTTTGTTTTTCCCAAGATATTTCGAAATCTCTCTTCTGATTTTTTTTCTTTGACCCAATAGTTATTTAGGATCATATTGTTTAATTTCCATAAACTTGTGAATTTTTCAAGATTCCTCTTGTTATTGATTCCTAGTTTCATACCACTCTGGTCAGAAAAGACATTTGAGGCCAGGCACGGTGGCTCACACTTCTAATCCCAGCACTTTGGGAGGCCAATGCAGGCAGATCACCTGAGGTCAGGAGTTCGAGACCAGCTCGGCCAACATGGTGAAACCCCGGCTCTCCTAAAAATACAAAAAAATAAGCTGGGCGTGGTGGCATGCACCTGTATTCCCAGCTACTTGGGAGGCTGAAGCACAAGAATTGCTTGAACCCCGTGTGGCAGAGGTTGCAGTGAGCTGAGATCGCGCCGCTGTACTCCAGCCTGGGCGACAGAGTGAGACTCTGTCTCCATTTAAAAAAAAAGGAAAGGTACTGGGTAACATTGTTTTTTGGCCTCACATGCTGTCTATCCTGGAAAAGTTTCTGTGTGCATATTAAGAAGAATGCATATGCTGGTGTGATGTTCTGTATGTGTCTGTAAGGTCTATTTGGTCTGAAGTGCACGTTGAGTACGCTGTTTTCTTATCGGTTTTCTGTCCATTGTAGAAAATGGGGTACTGAAGTCCTCTACACTTGTGGTATTTTTGTCTGTCCTTTCAGATCTGTTAATATTTGCTTTATATATCTGTAAATAGTGCCACAAAAGTGATCGATAATGGGGTGAATGTCACCACCACGTGTGCCTGTTTTGGCTGAGGTGTTCTTTGTAGGTGAATTGCTGTCAACTGTAGCTTTATGCAAGAAACATACTAGTAGCCATACTGTAAACAACTTCATGTGCCAGGATTCAGCTGCAAAGAGTTTATCAAGTGCCCGCATTGAGTATCTTTGTAAGGCATGCTCTTGACTTTGACCAACAGAGAGGAGGATTATCCAGGGTGACATTCATGTATGACTGGGCTTATCAGAATTGTGACTTGAATTTAAACGGTAGTTTTTTTTCTCAAGAAGTTAGGGAGCTACATATTAGAGGCCCTGCCATTTTGCCTTTATGTGATTCCAGATCAGCGGTTGGCAAATATTTTTAAAAAGAGCCAGATTGTATTTTAACGCTTTGCAGGTGCCATGGTCTTGCTGCAGATACCCAGACCTGCCCCTGCGGTGAGGGTGGAAGCAGCTCTGGATGTAGGTGAACAGAGGGGAGTGTTCTATCAGACTTTATGGATGGACCCTGAAGTCTGAACTTCAGCACATTTCGCATGGCGTGGAATCTTATCTTTTCAAAACTTTTCCTCGATGGTTTGAAAATGTAAAAGCAACTCTTAGCTCACAAGTTGTGGGAAAGTAGGTAATGGGCAGAAGTAGCTCTTGGGCTGCGGTTTGCTGTCTGCTGTTGTAGGTCATGAGAGTAAGTTCTAGAAGGTGGCACTCTGGCTATGGGTGAGGGTGGCCTGTCCAGTAGTTTCTGTTTCTGCTGCTGGTGTTGCTGGCTTGCGAGCTGGGCTGTTGATGTCTGCGATTATGATTTAAGTCTTTTTCCAGAACGTCTGCCTGGGACAGCGGTCCCGCCATGTGTACTGAGTTACTTCCAGCCTAATTGGGTGAAATGACAGGCAGCTGCTGGGTTGGTCTGCCCTCCTGGGCTTCTACAGCTGCTCCAGTTAGCGCCTGCTCTTACTGTTTGCACCCAGCATGCAGATTCCCTGCTGCAGAGACTCTAGCGGCACTGGGTACTGACTCTCCCAGGCAGGAAGGCTGCAGGTAATGCTGGCCTAAACTCCAAAGCATGCTCTCTATTATTTTGTCCACGAGTGAGTCTTTTCTTGTTCTAATTACATCTCTGCTGTGGGATTTCAGAGAAAATCAGCTCATCTTTTGTCTCCTGCAGGGCGGGAAAGGACGCATAGGAGTGGTCATATCATCCTACATGCACTTCACCAACGTCTCGGCCAGGTAGGATGAAGATGTCAGCCTGCTGTCTTTCGGTGCTAAAAGTTCAGCCTGCATGGGGCTGGAGGCTGTCTGCGGGGAGCTGTTCTAGACACCAAGGGCTCAGCTGACCTGTGTTTCGTATCCCTCGGTGCTGGGGTGGTCAGTGCCTGGAAACCCAGCTTCCAGTTAGGCATTTACTCTTGTGAAAGTGGCATTTTCCAGGTTGGGTGGCTGTGTATGATTGATTCTAAGTACTTCCATGGAGGCATTAAAAAAATAAGTGGACCCACTGTTCCTTATTCTCTAATAGATAATTCTCTAATGAAAAATAACAGAGGTAAAAGTCACCGTTATGAAAATTAAGAACAGAGTGGACTCACTAAATCAGTTCACACCTTGTGCATATTAATGGTGACAGCCACCTCTTTTTTTGCAGGCACTGGGCCTCTGGGAAGTATACTGAATATTTTCCTTTCTCCCTGAATTCTAACTAATCCACGAGGCTGTTACTGTCATTCCCATTGCACAGATGAGGGAAGCAGGGCTCAGAGGAGCCAGGTAGCTTATTCATGATCTCATAGCCTGGAGTGGGGAGCCAGGTCTGGGCTGGTTTCCATGAGATGGAACTGTAATTGTGGAGACTTTGGAGGTGCCACTGGGGCCCCCTTAGTCAGGCATGACACAAACACATCCGGGCCATGAGGACCCCAGCCCTGTGGCAGCCCTCCTGGCCCTGGGAAGCTGTGGTGTTACCTGGCAGCTTTCCCACAGTGCAGATCTTCACTCACACTGAAATGCAGTGCAGAAAATATCATCATTTATGGCGTCTGCATTTGCAACTGCCCTGTCTTCTCAATGGCCTCTTTGTAAAACCTGAGCTTTCCATTCTGAGGAAATAGAAGCTTATTCATATCAGCCGATAAACCTTTTCCTTTCTAGCACCAAGGAGTGAAATTTGACTTTCTGAATGTTTTCTCTGGAAACAAATTGGGGAGCTGGTGCCTGCCAGGGAGGAAACGGAAGCCCCAAGTGAAAATCAGATTCCCTCTTGGTGAGAATAATCATCAATGCGTGTGTGCCAGAAAAATCGAGATTCCTGGTCACATCCGTCCCTCAGCGATGCCACAGACATTTGGTTGGCCACCAAACATAGCCTGGCTGGTTCTGGGCAGAGACCACCTGAGCACTTCTTTATTTTTTTTTGAGACAGAGTCTCGCTCTGTTGCCCAGGCTGGAGTGCAGTGGTACAATCTCTGCTCACTGCAACCTCCGCCTCCTGGGTTCAAGCGATTCTCCTGCCTCACCCTCCTCAGTAGCTGGGATTATAGGTGCAAGCCACCACACCTGGCTAATTATTTTGTTATTTTTAGTAAAGGCGGGGTTTTGCCATGTTGGCCAGGCTGGTCTTGAACTACTGACCTCAGGTGATTCATTCGACTCAGCCTCCCAAAGTGCTGGGATTACAGGTGTGAGACACTGCTCCTGGCCTCACCTGAGCATTTCTAACCCCAGCAAAGTAGTGCTGCCCGAACCGAAGTTCCATGCATTGTGGATAGTCCTGTATTTTTGGGGAAGGGTAGTAGTCTAAGGGCTAAAAACACGACATTGACACTCTTCCTACAAACTGTTTTCTCTCGGTAGTCAATATGTGTTTCAGCTGCATGTGTCAGGCAATTTACCTGAATCTCTCTAAGCCATCCTTACCTGGAAAATGATGGTAGTCTTGAAATGTTGTGACAGTTCAACCTATCATTACACAAAAAGCACTTAGAACAAGATCGGTAATCAGGTATTGGCTGTCATTAATGCTGCTGTGATTAGTAGGAGTAATGGTATTAAGTGCCTTTCAATTACAGCTAGTGCTCGACTTACGACCACGGTTGGGACCGTGGACCGGTCGTAACATGATTTAGTCGTAAGTTGAGTAGGCTATATGTACAGTTGAAATGGTGCACGTGGAGATGGTAGTGCTGCCGGAAGCTGGTCTGCACTGTCGTATGCCCAGCTGGGCAATGTTTGTGCTGCCAGACGCGGAGCAGTCGTGGCTAGCGATTGTGGTCGTAAAGTCGAATGGTCGTAAGTTGCATGGGTCGTAAGTCGATCAATACCTGTAAATGGTCTGAAACCACATGCTTTTTGTGACTTGCTTTTCTATATTAATATCTTTTCTTTTTTTTTCTTTTCTTTTTTTTTTTGAGACAGTGTCTCGCTCTCTCATCAGGCTGGAGTGCAGTGGTGCAATCTCGGCTCACTGAAACCTCCGCCTCCCAGTTTCAAGCAATTCTCCTGCCTCAGCCTCCTGAGTAACTGGGATTACAGGCACATGCCACCAAGCCCAGCTAATTTTTGTATTTTTAGTAGAGATGGGGTTTCACCATGTTGGCCAGGATGGTCTCGATCTCTTGACCTCGTGATCTGACGGCCTCGGCTTCTTGAAATGCTGGGATTACAGGTGTGAGCCATGGCGCCCAGCCATAAATATAATTTCATACGCATCATTCCCTGACATGCTTTCAGTGGCAGCATAGCACTTTATTCAATGGATACGTTATGTATTTAAGCATTTGCTGATTTTGCCTATCCAAGCTGCTTCTAGTTTGTGTATGTGTGTGTGTGTGTTTAAATTTAGGTTGCTTCTAGCTATTTTCGACTGCAAAGCTTGCCACGATGAACACATTCTTATGTGTACATCTTTGATCATTTCTACAATGTTCCCTCTTAGATTACATTCCAGAAGTAGAGTAATCACAGATAGCACAAGCATACGTGTTTGAGGTCTTTATCACAAACTACAAACAGAATGAAACAGAAACTTCAAGTCACCAGGAAAGAACATTCTTGTATCAACACCATAAAATAAGAGTTGTAAAGACAAAAGCAGTACTAATATTATTACTGGTAATAATATTACTACACAAAATAAACATTGGTCAAAATGTATTCTCAGTGTTAATAAAACAAGTGAATTCCAAAAAAAGGAGTGCTTAAACGTCACTGGGAGGCGATGGAGCCGCGCTCTCCTGCTCAGCATGTGATGCACTTGGTGCTAAAGTGGACACTTCTGTTTGTGACTGCCCCACCGGCCCAGCCCCTTGCCTAGCAAATGCATGCAGCAAGCTGTCCATTTCATAGCGTTCTATAAAAGTCAAGTCACACTCAGCTTACTTTTGAGTATGTTTCTTTTTCCACCTGCCTATCTCCCTACCAGTGTTTTCCAGGCCTTTATGAGGCCCACAGTGCTCGTGTACATCATTTTTCTGGAGGGATGTAGACATGTTTTTCTAAGAAAGGATTTTTTTTTTTTTTTTTTTTTGAGATGGAGTCTCTCACTCTGTCCCCCAGGCTGGAGTGCAATGGCGTGATCTCTGCCTACTACAACTCCGCCTCCCGGGTTCACGTGATTCTCCCACCTCAGCCTCCCGAGTAGCTGGGAGACAGGCACCTATCATCATGTCTGGGTAATTTTTGTATTTTTGGTAGAGACAGGGTTTCACCATGTTGGCCAGGCTGCTCTTGAACTCCTGACTTCAGGTGTTCTGCCCGCTTTGGCCCCCCAAAGTGCTGGGATTACAGACATGAGCCACGGTGCCTGGCCTATCAGGGTTTTGAGGAAGCATTTGGCTCAAATGAATTTGAGTTGTTAAGACACAGCACTTATACTCCATGTTGTATGCTGAAGTCGGATCAGGAAGCCCCACGAATGCCCTGCCGTGAGGTTTCTGGAAGGTCTGTCAGATACTACCTGTGGGCATTGTGGAGCTGGCATTGAAGGTCAAATATGTGGTTGGAAAGTGGGGTCACTTTCTATGGCAGTCACTTCAAAAACAGTGATGCAGCCCTGAGGCCTCACACGCCTTTCCAACCCCAGTGTCCGGCGGCCTTCTCTTGGGACTTCGTGGGGGCTTCATTCATTTTCCTGCTCTGGGTTGCTCCCCGCATCCTCGTGGTCCTGAGACTTGAGTCTGCCTCTTGTCTCTCACAGAGCCCACTTAACATGGCCTCTTTTATTTGGGAGTTAGGGTGGCCAAAAGACAGTTTTGGACACCAGCTCTGACACCTGCCTGCTGAGAAGCCTCAGCCAGTTCTTCTCCCGCAAACTGGGTATTCAGCACATCTACGTATCGTACTTTTAGATAAGGTGCTGTTATTTCAGATGAGAATTCTGACCCTGCACTATGGCTCCCACTTTGAGCACAGCATATTCCTGCAGGGGAAATGAAGGCTAAGAGGAGACAGGGGAATGGGCGTGCACAGGTGCAGCAAAAGAGTGAAGCCGCTTGTGTGAGCTGGTGCTTTCAACAGCCATGGGACATGTCTCCCGTCATGCACGTACGTGGTGTGAGTTCTATTGAGTTGACTCTCTTTCTTTCTCTCTCTTTCCCCAGCGCTGACCAGGCCCTTGACAGGTTTGCAATGAAGAAGTTTTACGATGACAAAGTTTCAGCTTTAATGCAGCCTTCCCAGAAACGGTATGTATACATCCCCAAAGCCAGAGTGAAGAGGTGAATGAAAGTTTACGTATAAAAATGTGAAAACAGAAGAAGCATCTTCTCTGTCCCAACACCTAAATGGTATCCTTGGGTCATGCCAAGACTATGAAGTGGGGGCTTGTCCCTCCCAGAGGTGAAGGGCTGAGCTATCCTGCCTGTCTGCGGTGAGAGAACCCCGTACACTGCTGGCCTGCACTGACAGAGGTTGAGGGAGGACTTGTCCCGGTTGGCATCTCCCTCTCTTGCAGTGAGTGACTTTTGATTTCATTATTATATTGGAACTTGGTTCTATGGCTAGACCAGGGGTCAGTAAACTCTCTCTGCAGCAGACTAGAGAGTGAATATTTTAGGCTTTGCAGGCCACAAGATCTTTATCGCAACTGTTCTAACATGAAAGCAGCCCTGGGCAATATGGAAATCAGGGAACGTGGCTGTATTCCAATAAAACTTTACTTATACAAACACTTTACCAGTTGCATTTGGCCAATTTTTGTGGCCCATCAGTTCCTGGAGGCCAGGGGAGTATTTTTCCGTCATGCTGCCCATCTCTTTCTTCTCTACTCCTGGGCATGGCTTCAGGAAGGTGCTCAGTAAGTGATGAGGAATAGCCGTGGTGGCGGGGGGGTGGTGGTGAGGGGGCATGCAGAACTGTCTCCTTTTGCCACCCACCCAGCAGGCTGAGGTCAAGAACCTGAGCAGGGCTGGCTGAGAGGCAGTGAGAAGGACCCACAGCTGGCTCCCCATCCAGGTACACTTCCTCTACAGATGGTGACACTTAGAGCCAACCAGGTAGCTCTATGGCATATTTCAAATCCCACAGCAGGGAATTCGTAGAAGTGCCAAGGCGATTGGCAAATGGTATTCTGTTCTGGAGACAGGTAGTTGCACATCCGACCTCGTGTATGCAAACCCTGATGCCTCACTTCTGTTTCCTTCAGTGTAGCTGAGGGCTATGTCAGCAGACATGGGGGTAGATGGGCAGAAAGGGATTTCAGTCATCACCAGAGGTACCTTTTCCTTTTGTCTTGCTGTTTCCAATGGCCCAGCTCTGTTTCTCTTGAGACCGGGTGTGTTGGAGGAAAGTGGGCTGGGGTGTGGGACCGTGGACAGCAACAGGGCCACATGCAGTGCAAGTTGCATGCAGAAAACTCAGCATTTTATAAAGTATTTTAGTGAGGCTGGGCATGGTGGCCCATGTGTGTAATCCCAGCACTTTGGGAGGTTGAGGCGGGCGGATCACGAGGTCAGGAGATGGAGACCATCCTGGCCAACGTGGGAAACACTGTCTCTATTAAAATACAAAAAAATAGCCAAGCATGGTGGCATGTGCCTATAATCCCAGCTAGTTGGGAGGCTGAGGTAGGAGAATCACTTGAACCCAGAGGCGGAGGTTGTAGTGAGCCGAGATTGCGCCACTGTGCCCCAGCCTGGGCAACAGAGCAAGACTCTGTCTCAAAAAAAAGTTTTTTTTTTTTAGTTAAACAGTCACTTGGGGGTCTTTTTTTGAACCATTAAATGCTATTTCTTTGTTGAGCAGTTTCCAAAATGGTGCCATTCATATGACCTCCCACATGGAAAATGAGGCGTCAGTGGGGGTAACCCGAGCAGAATGCTTGGCATGCAGGAAGGAAGGATGGCTGTTTTTCTTTTCTTTTCTTTTCTTTTTTTTATTTCTTACAGCACCAGCAGCTTGTTTATAACATTAAAATAATATGGAAAAAGGGGGAAAATATCTCCTCATTTTCTTTTTTCTTTTTATGTTTTTGAGATGGGGTCTTGCTCTGTCACCAGGCTGGAGTGCAGTGGCACAATCTTGGCTCACTGCAGCCCCTACCTCCTGGGCTCAAGCAATCCTGCCACCTCAGCCTCCTGAGTAGCTGAGACTATAGGTGCACATCACCACACCCAGCTAGTTTTAAAATTTGTGTGGAGACAGTGTCTGACTATGTAGCTCAGGCGGGTCTTGAACTCCTGAGTTTGAATAATCCTTCCGCCATGGCTTCCCAAAATGCTGGGATTGCAGGTGTGAGCCTCTGTTCCCTGCTGTCCTCATGTTCCCATGCCCAAGGTTTTCATGCATCCTTTCCATCACTGCACATCTGAAGCAAGAAAATTTGCATTTTTTAATATTTGCTGGATTCAGGTTTACATTCCAAGGTTAGTCCCTCTGCTCCTGAGATTAGGGAAATGCCCCTTATTCCTTGCCATTTTCCTTTTCTCTTGACCAGAGCCTGCATGAAAAGACGTTCACCAAATGGTATTTGAGCGTGTAAACAACCGAGTGAATGCAGAAGATAAATCTGGAGGGATGTTTGGGACCAGAAGAACGTGTGATGACAGCTTGTATGGGAATAGGCTCTGTGATGGGAAGCTACTCTGTTGTCCCGAATGATCTGGGGAGTGGGGTGTGTGCTTTGCAGGCTGTTTTAGGACTAAGCTCAAGACATTATTTTAAAGTCAAACGTGAAATAATCACTCTTGAGAATAATTAATTAGCATGGAGCGTGTGGCTGGGAAGCTCAGATGTCTCAACAGCAACTCTGATAGGGGGTCAATCTTTGTTGCCTTGTTTGTTACATTAAAAAGTCATGGAGCAGTTGGCCTAGGGAGCTGGGTCAGCCGTGTGCCCATGTAAGTTTTCTGTTTTCATACCTTTCTTGCCTTTAGCGAACCATGAGAAGTAGCTTGTGAACACCCCTGTGTGGCCTGCTGTTGGTGCTCATTACCACCATTGTGTTATGGAGGCACCCCTGAACTTCCTTCCCTGAACTTGGAAGCCTTCCTCTTTGAGAAGTAGTTAAAAAGAAATCCTGGGCGTGGCATAGTGGCTCTAGCCTGTAATCCCAATTCTTTGGGAGGCTGAGGCAGGACAATCCCTTGAGTCCAGGAGTTTGAGACCTTCCTTAGCAACGCAGGAAGACCCCATCTCTACAAAATAATAAATAAATAAATAAATAAATAAAATTAGCTGGGTGTGGTGGCACACACCTGTAGGCCCAGCCGGAAGCTGAGGCGGGACACTCCTTGAGCCCAGGAGTAGGAGGCTACAGTGAGCTCTAATTGTTTCACTGCATGCCAGCCTGGATGACAGAGGTAGACCCTGTCTCTTCTCACCTGCCCCCCAAATCCTGGTATAGTTTGGGTTTACTGTCAGCATCACGTAAATAATATTAAAAATTATTAATGTTTCTGACGTCTCTCTTCTTTTTTCCACCTTTCTTTCTTTCTGAGAGAGTTGAGACAGCAGCATACATATCTTGGCCCCGCCACCAGGTTAATGGGGAAAGTAACAGCCCGTTGTTTCTTTGGGTAACTGATCTCTCCTGAGTGTTGGCTGCCAAGGTGACGCTGGGAGGTCCCAGGTGGGACTCGCCTAAGACCACCACTCATGCTGTCTATACGTGTTTGGGTGTCCCTTTGAGGTGAAGGGAAGACAGACAAAGCAAACGTCTTGGCATTCAGAAAGCAGGAATTATCCTGTACGGTGTTACTGGTGGAAGGCATCCGAGTTATCAGCAGTGAATCCATAAGGGTCTGTAGCAACCTCAACTGTTGCCTGCTCAGAAGAAACAATTTTGACTAAGGGGCATAAGGCAGAAAAAGAGACAGAGGCAAGTTTTAGAGCAGGAGCCGAAGTTTATTTAAAAAGGCTTTAGAGCAGGACAGAAAGGAGAATACGCTTAGAAGAGACCCAAGTGGGCATAAGAAGGCCAAGCGTGGCGTTTTACCTTGGTCCTAGGATTTTATAGGCTGGCCCACTTCCCCTATAAAAGGACTTTATAGTCTTGTGCCCCTTTCCCATGATTCTTCCCTTAGGGTGGGCTGCCCGCATGCATGGTGCCCTCCTTTTGCTTGAGAAGTGAGCACACGCACGTATTTAGGAAGTTGTACTCATGCCTGTCTGAGGGTTTCTCTTGTCTGATGTGCCACCAGAAGGTCATACTCTGCCATTTTGTCTTTTAATACTCGTGCCCAAGAAGGTGTGTCTTCCTGAAGCCTGCATTCAATTAATAGTGCAATAGGCATGGACCATCAGGAAATGGCCACCTCCTGGCACCGGTTGCCAGTGTATCACTTTCAGAGAGGCAGTGTGATGATCGCCCTGCTGTCACCCAGCATTCCTAGTGGGTGCAGAAAGAGCCCTCTCTTGCCCTGCTCATGCCTAACTACCTGTAACAATGGCATTAGTTGGTTTTTGTTATTTCTGTCATTTTTGACAGAAGTACCTCAGGTTCCTGAAAGAATACTTTAAAGATACAAGGGGAGTAGTTTTCCACATTCTCTAAAGAATGAGACTCCTCAGATCGTCTCTGAAATGCTTCTGTAACCCACAAGTGGGTTCATTATTCAATGCCCAGATAGAGCTGATTTACCAAGACAGGGGAATTGCCATAGAGAAAAAGTTTAATTCATGCAGAGCTGGCTGAACAGGAGACCAGAGTTTTATTACAACCCAAATCAGCCTCCTGGAAAATTTGGAGGCTAGGGTTTTTAAAAGATATTTTTTGGGGAAAGGGGTGACTAGGGAACGGGTACTGCTAATTTGTTGGAGGTGCAATCACAGGGGTGTAAAAAATGGCCCTCCTGCCGCTGAGTCCACTTCTGGGTGGGGCCGGATAACAGTTGGCAGGCCAGGTAGAGCTGTCAGTTGTCAGAAATGCAAAGCCTAAAAGACATCTCAAAAGGCCAATCTTAGGTTCGGCAATGGTGATGTCATCTCTAGGAGTAACTGAGGAAGTTGCAAATCTTGTGTTCCCCAGAGTAATCTTTTAAGTCTGCACCTTGGCAGAAATCAGACTGCTTTCATCCTCCCAACCTGGTGGTCTTTCATTAATTTTACAAAGGTGGCCGGGCGCGGTGGCTCACACTTGTAATCCCAGCACTTTGGGAGGCCGAGGCGGGTGGATCATGAGGTCAAGAGATCGAGACCATCCTGGTCAACATGGTGAAACCCCGTCTCTACTAAAAATACAAAAATTAGCTGGGCATGGTGGCGCATGCCTGTAGTCCCAGCTACTCGGGAGGCTGAGGCAGGAGAATTGCTTGAACCCAGGAGGCGGAAGTTGCGGTGAGCTGAGATCGCGCCATTGCACTCCAGCCTGGGTAACAAGAGCGAAACTCCATCTCAAAAAAAAAAAAAAAAAAATTACAAAGGTGGTTTAGTTTTGGGCTATTATCATTTATACCATAAACTTTACTTTCTCCTAAAGTTAGTTTGGTCCAAGCCCAAGAATGTACTAGGGCAGTTAGGAGGTTAAAGGCAAAGTGGGGGTTGGTTAGATTAGATCTCTTTCACTGCCATACTTCTCTCACTGTTAAAACTTCTGCAAACGCAGTTTTACTTCCTGTCCCTGTGGCCCCTCCCTGCATGTCCTCCTTGCTGCCCCCAGCCTGCAGAGGGAGGATGACCATTCCTCAGGGAGCCACACACTTTGCCTGGGTCCAGCCGTCCCCTCTGAGTCACCAACTCTGTGGGCAAGGTGACCTACACGCCGGCAGCATCTTCCAGGAGAGCAGAGGCTGTGGCCGATGTGTTGGGGTCTACTCTGACGCTTATGTCCATGCAACTCACTCATCTTTGCAGCAATTCCAATGTGTAGGTCTCACTATTCTCCCCATCACAGGTGAGGGAAGGCAATGGTCAGCAGAATGTTAAATAACAGCCCAGTCTTGGCTCACACCAACAGGTGGCTCAGCTCAGGTGTCCTGGCCGGTTGGTGCTGCCCCTGCAGCTGTGGCTGACTCTGTGGGTGCCGGGAATGTGGAGGGAGTAAGTTGCTGGGAAAGTGTCCTGTGACGAAGCCTCCTGTTGCTTGGAAAAGTAACCTTTGAATGCTAGTTTTTATGCACCCACATTTTCAGAGAGATTCAAGCTTACGTCTAGTGCAACTCAAATGTTTAGGGAGATTTATGGAGATTCCAAGTGGAAGTTTTTGCTGTTGGAAGTGGTTGTAAATAACTCGAGGGGCAACTGAAAACTGCAAGCTGCTTTACATTCATTTGCTTACAAGTCAAAAGCAAATGGTTTGCCTTTGGCTTATTAAAATGTACTCACTGGTTTGAGACGAAGCATGGAAAACATCATCCTCAGGGAGTTTATTTCCTAAAAAGAAAGAAAAGATAGCAGTGGGAAAATAATGGAGCTGTTTTTACCAAGTATCTGGTTTCTAATCTTTCCAGCTCTGAAAACAGTGCTAACTAAGTAGGAACATTTCATTTTGAATAGGGCTGTTGGGATGGTCTTTAGAGGGCATCTGATACCGACGTTGACTCATTTATATCTACCTTTCACGCCACATATCATGTCTACGTAGTTCAAGTTGATCCTTTCCACAGTCAGCTGGATGAATTAATTGTGCAGTTCTGTCCTATTGTACTTCCCTCCCCTCTTCCTCTCTTTTTTTCTTTTCTTTTTTTTCCTTGAGACAGGGTCTTGCTCTGTTGCTCAGGCTCACTGCAGTGAGGCAACCTTGGCTCACTGTAACCTCCACCTCCTGGGTTCAAGTGATTCTCATGCCTCAGCCTCCTACGTCGCAGGAATCATAGGCATGCGCACCACCAGGCCCAGCTAGTTTTTTTTTTTCTTTGGTAGAGACGCGGTTTCAGCATGTTGGCCAGGCTGGTCTCAAACTCCTGACCTCAGGTGATCCGCCCACCTCAGCCTCCCGAAGTGTTGGGATTACAGGCGTGAGCCACTGTGCCTGGCCACCCCTTATTGTCATCTATGCCTGAATGTTCTTTTCTTTGGTACTGATGGCGATTCTGTAGGAAGTCACTCACAAACTCAGTGCTGTTACCTATGCCGGGCTATTTGTCTGCAATCTCACAGCATTCACCACGGCTTATATTTGCAATGAACTTTGTTGTTTTTATATGACATTGCTATTTAAAAAAAATTTTTTTTAAAGGCATGCTTTTATTTAGGATTTAGAACAACATATTTTTTAAAAAATCTTACCTTATTAAGAAAGCACGTGAAGGAAGAAAAAATTGCATTTACCTTAGCATTTTATGTCTTTAATTTACCTGAATATATGATACATAAAAAGTAGTTTTCTATAAAGGACAGATGAGAATTATATGTCAAGAGGCTACTTTTCAATTGGCGAAGCTGTCAACTGAGCAGCTTTTTGTAGACTGAGCTGCGAGGTGATGGCTGTTGAGAGCTGGTTTTGGGAAGACTCCAGGCTCCCGGGTCCCAGACAGGGACAGCCTCCTTCCCTTCCTGCTCACCACCTCTGGGCTTGTGGCCCTGGACTTGGGCCTTCTTTGGGAGCTTGTGGCGAAACAGAGCTCTCCTGCCGTCAGCTTGGCCCTCCTCACCTGAAGGAAATACTTCTTATGATTCGTGTGGTGACAGGGGCAGCAATTCTGGCAGGCCACATCAGCAGAAATGAAGCTCTCTGACCACAGTATAGGATAAGACCTGGGTCCAGGAGAAGCCTTGGTTTCCCAGAGGGTGGCTGCTTGCCCCTCATAGGACCTTGGCGCTAACTCTGGGCTCAGCCACTTGGACCCCCCATGCTGCCATGAACAGGAGCCCCTGAGGCCCAGCACTCCAAAGCCTTCTATGTTTGCACGAAGACACAAAACAAACATGGACTCCACCCAGCTGCTGGGTCTAGGTGCACATCAGACACTGAGAGCACCTACAGGGAAGAGGACTGTCTCACCTGCGTGGTCACTGCAGAAACCGCCCGAGCACACGGCCAGGCAGTCAGGGAATCAGCATGTCACTGACAAACTGGATGAGTGGAGGAAGCTGATTTCCTAGTGTCCAGGGCTTCCCCGTGCTGGAGGGAGGGCAGAACCGCCCCAGAGGAGGTGACTCAGGCCCCTCAATCTGGTCATTTGTGATTCCTCACTTTTACTCAAAACCAGGGAGCCAAATTTTCCACAACACTTGAAATTTACATGATTAAAAATACATGATTCATGCATTTCTCTGCTTACGTAGAACCAAGTGTGGGAAGTCTTGTCGCCAGGGTGGAAAGTATCTTGCAGGGGAGGTGTGTGGGAGCGGCCTGGAGGTCTGTTGAGGTCTGGTCATCGGCCTCTCGGGGTCCCCGCGTCTCCAGGCTGAGCATCTGGCCTCTGCGACTCTCGTGAGGTTTTGCCCTATTCTGAGAGAGCAGAAGAGAAATTTGGTGCTAGGAGGATGGAAACACTGCCATGTCCTGTTTCTCACAATGAATTGTAACTAAAATGAAGCAGTCTTGCTTTTCTAACATTTTTCTAGTGGGTGGACTATAAGTAAGGCATTTATTTTTTTTTTGGTAGTGTTTAACAGAAACCTTCTCTTGTTCAGTTTGTTTATATACAAATTTAGCTGCTTGAATAGTGGACTCGGTGTGAACTGCCAGCATAATGAGATATTTTTTTCCTTAACACAAGTAAGTTTCGTGATGGCTGTTTCTGGCCTGGGGCAGGATGGCTGTAGGTGCTGACAATACAGTCACCTGACACTTCCTGCCTCCGTCTGCTGTGGCAATAGAGAGATGCATAGATGGTTAAATACTGTGGGGTTTTTGGTTGTTTGGGTTTTTCTTGCAGAGATTGCAGCGCTTTGGTGGAGATACGTATGGAAACACAGATTCCATGCAAGGTGTTGCAGGCTACAGTGGAGGTTGTGTGGGTGCAGTGGCCATGGTGAGGGGCCTCAAGGCAGGGGCCAGGGCAGGCAGGGCACCAGCAGGCAGGACAAGCCAGGGAAGTGTCAGAGAGCTTGGCAATCCTCCAGCTTATCTTGCGGTCACTGCCCCCAGTCATGCCTCATGAGGACCCCGGCAGTCAGACGCTCCTAGTGTAGAAGCTTCCCTGTTAACCACCAAATGCTCATGAAAGGTGTGTGGGGTCAGTGTTGGAAGCATGAAGCTGATGCCTGGAACTGAGAGAGAGAGGCGGACGGCCTACGTGGCCTTCACCTTTGGAGCTGGGCCCTGAAGAGAGAGGGACAGCAGGAAGGAGAGCCTCTTCTCATTAGACGTGGCATGGAAGGCCTCGGGGTAGGAGGGGAGAATGGACTCCAGCCTTTCCTTAGGGCTCCTGAGCGTGAGCAAAAAGTAGCAGGCGCAGTGAGTGGCGCCGGGCCTGGGTCACGTGACCCTGCCACAGGTGCCATGCTAGTGACAGAGCACATGCCCGCTGGTGTGCCAGGCCTCTGCTTTCCGCTGCTCGCCAGTGGCAACCTTGATGGTTGGTGGCCTGGCATTACCTGGTGATGGGTTCAGTGGACAGGCACAAAGGCCTTTCGGGTGTGGGATGCTCAAGCCGAGAGGCTGGTTGTATCTCAGTGTCCCTGGTGCCTGATGCGCTGGTGGGAAGCCCTCAGATCTGCGGGTACAGCACCACGCTGAGAGCCCCTGGCTATGAGCAGGGGACCGATTCTCTCCCAGAGCCCCAGGCTCAGTCAGGACATGTTTCTCCCTGAATTTCCTCCTCAGCAGGGGCTGAGAATGCTTCTGGAAAGTCCAAGCCAGGTGTTCTTTTGCAGGTATGTTCAGTTCCTCAGTGGGCTCCTGTCCGGATCTGTGAAAATGAATGCCTCTCCCCTGTTCCTGCATTTCGTCATCCTCCACGGCACCCCCAACTTTGACACAGGTGGAGGTGAGTTTCCCTGTGATTGGCTTGCCCAGACTTGGGGCTGGTCCAGGGCCCCTCAATTCAGATAAGCCTCTGCTTTCTTCCTGAGAGGGCCCAGAATCTGCTCCTCCCCCTCCCTGGTGATTGACTGTGCCCCCTTTCTGTGGACAGATCACCATGTTTATGTGGTTGGGTCAAATTACTTAATCAGGGGAGAGACAAGGTGGCCAGCGAGGGGCATCAGAAATACCCCTGTGTGTATGCACAGTGACTCTGGCAGACAAGCATTGTTCTGGGCCGCAGCTCCGGTGGGTTAGCTGTGCAGCTGGCCTTGAGGTCACAGCCATGAAAGAAGGCCAGCAAGCAAGGCATGAATGTGACCCAGTCTCCCCCTGGCACATCTCATGAGCCCATCTCCTCCTTTAAAATGACCCCACAGGAAAGCACACAGCACATAGCTGGGGGTGAGGCCCCTGAACCCTCCTTCCTGTCCCACTTAGATGGACACAGCACACAACTGGGGATCGGGGTCCTGTCTCCTCATCCCCAGTCCCCTGCAGCTGCACTGAGCATATGACTGAGGGTCAGCAGGATTCCATCCGTCCTCCCTGGTCCCACGCAGGAGCATACAGCACATGGCTGAGGGTCAGGGTCCTGTTGTCTTCTTCCCAGCCCAGTGCAGGTGCACACAGCACACAGCCGGGGCTCAGGACCCTGCCCCTCCTTGCCAGTCCCATGCAGGTGCGCTTGCTCACAGGTTTCTTCTGTCTCTGAAGTACATCTGTGCCTTCAGGTTTCCCCGGTCATCATGGCCAGAGTGACCCTGCCAAGCTGCTGGTTGGTTTTGAAGCAGCCTGGCTCAACGATTCAGGAGCCTTTGCAACCCTTTGGGTAAAGGTCAAACTGTGCTGTTCTGCAGACTTCTAGGACCGGGTTTGGCCTTTTCCTGCAGCAACGCTGTGGCTCCATGCACTGCCTTCCCAAACCTCAAAGGCCGCAGGTGCGGTCTCCTGGTTTCCTCGTCCCTTTCTTTCTGTTTGTCAAATTCCGGATTGTTCTGTCCTGGTCATGCCTCTACAGACGGTTGTACCTCTCTTTCAGTGTGTCGGCCCTTTCTGAAGCTCTACCAAGCCATGCAGCCCGTGTACACCTCCGGGATCTAGTGAGTGCTGCTGCTGTGGGATCTGGACAGCCCAGGGAATTGCAGCCGAGCCTCAGCTGCCTGTCCCGCAGGAAGAGGGTGGGAGGGTTCAGGTCAGAGAATGCCAAGGAGCCAAACAAGAGTCCAGAGAGGAAAACCCTGGGGTGGCTCGTGCTCTGGCATCACTCCTCGGCCCTCCCTCCTGCTTCAGCCCTCCCTCCTGTCCGAAACAAGTGTCTTTGGGCTGTCACACCAATTGGCCCCATTAAGGGACATGTGGGTGGAGTCTCGAGGGGAGAGAGGGCCATTTGCTTTTTGGAGTACGATGGTCCCTCAGTTTTCAAGGGGGATTGATTCCAGGACGCCCTTTGATTACCCAAATCCGTGATGTTCAGGTGCGTTTTTTAAAACAGCATTGTCTTGAACTCCTGACCTCAAGTGATCCACCCACCTCGGCCTCCCAAAGTGCTGGGATTACAGGTGTGAGCCACCACACCCCTGGCCATGGTAGCAAAACCCCGTCTCTACTAAAAATGCAAAAATTAGCCAAGTGTGGTGGCGCATGGCGGTAATCCCAGCTTCTCGAGGTGGAAGCAGGGGACTCACTTGAACCCGGGAGGTGGGGGTTGCAGTGAGCTGAGATCGCGCCACTGCACTCCAGCCTGGGTGACAGAGAGTCAACAAAACGAAACAAAACAACAAAAAGCGGCACTGTATTTTCACATGACCCATGAACATCCTCTTGTATACTTTAAATCATCTCTAGATTACATGCAATACCTAATTCAATGTAAAGGCTGTGGAAATAGTTGTTACAATGTATTGTTTTTTAATTTCTGGTTTTTTGTGGTTGCATTTTTATTTTTTATTTATTTCCCACAATATTTTCTATCCCCAGTCAGTTGAGTCCACGAATGTGAAGCCTGAGGATAGGGAGGGAGGGTTTACTGTGAGCATATTGGAGAGAGTCCTGTGATAGGGTCTCACCACTGTGGTTTCTCTTTCTCTCTCCTTTCCATTTTGCTTTTTATTTTTATTTTTTTTAATTTATTTTTGAGACAGAGTCTCGCTCTCTTGCTCAGGCTGGGGTGTAATGGTGCGATTTCGGCTCACTGCACCCTCCACTTCCCAGGTTCAAACAATTCTCCCCCCTCAGCCTCCCAGGTAGCTAGGATTACAGGTGCCCGCCATCATGCCCAGCTAATGTTTGGATTTTTGTAAAGATGGTGTTTCACTATGTTAGCCAGGCTGGTCTCAAACTCCTGACCTTAAGTGATCCTCCTGCCTCGGCCCCACAAAGTACTGGGATTACAGGTGTGAGCCACTGTGCCTGGCCTCCTTTGCATTTTAAACAGAGGGTAGCCATACATCCCCAAAATCTGTACACATTTCTAAGCTTTCTATTTTTTTTTTTTTTTTTTTTAATGTGGACAGACATTTTATGAAAAGTAAATAAAGGTAACAAATATTCTCACTACTCAAAGAGCTGTTGTCACGTTTCTGGGTTTGTTCCGGGCCGTGTGTGCACTGACGTTAACTTTGGAATTGCACCTGCAGTTTGTGGCTGTGCACACACTGGGCCCCTTCCTCTAAGGCTGCCTGGTCGTCTCCAAGCTCAGGCCCCTGGGGTTGGACCTTAGTCACTTCAAATTAGTCACTGACCCCGATGACGCTTTGAGTACTCTCCTTGGCCCGGGAGCTTTCTTTAGCCTTTTAGATTCACTTAGATTCTCAGGAATTAGATTCTGGGCTGATGGGGCATTCTCTGTGATTTCTGAGTTTTTGGTTGTCAGGTTACTTTTCCCTACATGTATTCTTCCCATGAAATCATGAAGTTACATAATGCTCTGCTTTCTTCTTCATCCAAAGCAACGTTGGCCCGGAAAACCCCAGCAGGATCTGCATTGTCATCGAGCCGGCCCAGCTTCTGAAGGGGGATGTCATGGTGAGTGCCCACCGTGGCCGCAGCCATGGCCATGTCCCTGCTCTCCCAGTGGTGATGACTCAAAAAGAAAAACTGACTCTGTGCTAAAACAGTAACCCCCAAAAATGCCCTGTAGGAAGAATGAGCCTTTGCCTTAATGCTGGGGTCCCCAATCTCCGGGCTGCGGACCTTATCAGTCCGTGGCCTGTTAGGAACCGGGCCTAGCGAGGGAGCATGACTGCCTGATCTCCGCCTCCTGTCAGATCAGCAGTGGCATGAGATTCTCATAGGAATGCGAACCCTATTGTGAGCTGCGTGTGTGAGCCACCTAGGTTACACACTCCTTGGGAGAATGATGATCTGAGGTGGAACAGTTTCATCCTGAAACCATCCTCCACCAGTCTGTGGAAAAATTGTCTTCTATGAAACCGGTCCCTCGTGCCAAAAAGATTGGTGACCACTGCTTTAAGGCATTTCGTTAACTTTCTGAATAAAACTGTTTTAACGAAAGGGACAGAACGAATCTTCGTTCTTGATTCTCTTTCATTCTAGAGCCCCTTGAGATATCTGACCTGGAAATTAACGTCCTAACTCGGCCACTCACTTCTGAGGAGCCCTGTGTTTTGACTATAACTTGCAATCTTTCACGTGATCACAGACCTCCCAGAGTGTGGGTGCAGAAATAGAATATTTATGTATCGTTAATAGCCGAAGTGTGAAATACAGCTGGTGTGATGATTACAGCTTGATTAATGATCAAAACAATTATTTCTCCAGATAATCTTTTTTTCTTTTGAGACAGACTTGCTCTGTCGCCGGGCTGGAGAGCAGTGTTGCAGTCTTGGCTCATTGCAATCTCTGCCTCCCCGGTTCAAGAGATCTCCTGCTTCGGCCCCTCAAGTAGCTGGGACTATAAGCACGTGCCACCACAGCCGCCTAATTTTTGTATTTTTTAGAACAGATAAGCTTTCAGCATGTTGACCAGAATGGTCTCTATCTCTTGACCTCATGATCTGCCTTCCTTGGCCTCCCAAAGCTCTGGGATTACAGGCTTGAGCCACCGTGCCCAGCCTCTCTAGATAATTTTGACTCTTGAATGTGTTGGTTTTGGAGGAGATTAGCCATTACATTTTTGCCTTTTATTTTTCTTGAATACAAAACATTCACACATTTAAAATAATTTTAAGAAAGTTTTTCTTATCTGAAGTAAGGTAAGCTTTTAAGGCATATGTATGACTTTCAGCATGCATAGAATCATAGAATGTGAAGATTTCATGGCCTTGGAAGGCCCACTTCTCTATAAGGCAATAAGGTGAATGGAGAGTTAGCTTTTCGTTGTATTGTAAATGTCCTATGCAGAGTTTTTGAGGATTCTCACTAATTTTCCTGTAACCCCTGGATTTTAAAACCTTTGCTTGGTAGGTGGTAAACTCCCTGCCTTGCTGGTCCTCAATTCTTACAGAAATCAAATCAGCAAGGATTGTGAAGGTAGAGATCCTCTAGACCCATCCATGCGTATAGGGTCCCTCTGGGGCCTCCGGGTCTGTCCTGCTTCACATGTTCACTACCTGGCTGAGGGGTTCTGCAGGCCTGGAAGGCAGGCCTGGAACAACAGCTGGGCTTAGCCCTTTTCAAGGTATTGAGCTAAGCACTTTATAAACATTTTACCTCCTGTTTCGTAGGCGAGAAAGCTGAAGTGTGGGGTGTGCCAATGTTTTTTTTAATTATTTTATTTCATATTATTTTATTTTATTTTATTTTATTTTTGAGATGGAGCCTTGCTCTGTCACCCAGGCTGGAATGCAGTGCACAATCTTGGCTCACTGCAACCTCCACCTCCTGGGTTCAAGTGATTCTCCTGCTTCAGCCTCCTGAGTAGCTGGGATTACAGGCGGGTGCCACCATGCCCGGCTAATTTTTTTTGTATTTTTAGTATAGACGGGGTTTCACCATGTTGGTCAGGTTAGTCTCAATCTCCTGACCTTGTGACCCGCCCATCTGGGCCTCCCGAAGTGCTAGGATTACAGGCATGAGCCACTGCGCTCGGCCTGTCATACGTTTTTATATGCCTGTTTCCTCAGCTCTCTATTCTACTGTCCTAAGAAGGAGGACCTGGGCTGGAAGCCTATCCTCAGCCGTGGCGCAGTGGCCCTGTGGTTGGAAGTGAGAGGGAGGACTCGGGGGGAAGAGAGGCATCTGCTCTGGTGTTCCTTCACATCTTCTGCCCCAGAAGGCAGCCCTGGGCTTGTTTCCTAGGAGACTTCACCCCAGAGGCTCCTTCTCCCGGGACACTTCCTGGGCTCATTGGACAAAGGGCCTGAGCCTTCACTGAGCACTGGCTGTGTGAAGCACTTTACTTCTCCAGCCATGCTGGTATCGGGTCCCGTGTCCCAGCTTTAAAGAGGAGGCCGAGACAGGCTGGGTGGATGCTGTGGGATTTGCACCTGCCCTCATCTTGTTTGCATAGTGTTCTACCTGCCCTGGGAGATGGCATCTCAAGGGTGGGTGCTCCCGGAATCAGGCCTTCAGCAACGAGTTGTTAAGGCCCAGTTCCTTTAAGGTGACTCATGGGAGGCAGCTGAACAACTCAGTCATGGAGGGTGACCCTCAGGCTGAGATGTGGCTTTTTTCACCCCCACATGGGAGGGCCCTCTCCCCTGGGCTGTTTATGCGCTGGTACCTGCAGGGTCTTCCTGAAGCCAGGCGTGTGGGGGCGTCCCTGGGCACTGCCTGGCTCCTCTCCTCTTTTCCCAGCTGCCCCCTCCTCCACCTGCTTCCTCCTTCCTTCTCCTCTCCCCTCTCTTCTCTCCCACCCCGCCTTTATTCTCTCTCCTCCTCTTACCCTTCTTCCTTTTCCTCCTCTCTGCTCCCTCCCTCCTTCCTCCTCATTACTCTCTGCGGCCCCTCCTTCCTACCGTCATTCATCCAGTAATCTTTTTTTGAATGTGTTGTGCTTTTTGAGTCCCTGTGCTTGGCTCTAGGCCCATGAGTGCAGTTTTTGCCTTGGAGGATCCTGGTGGGGACATGGGCGTTCTGGCAGGAGGGAACCTGCAGATACTGTGTAGCCCTTTATGAGACCGGGTGGAAGAGGTCACAGGAGGACTCAGAGGGGCATGACCTGTGAGTTGGCCGCAGGCTGGGAGGGGTGTTACTATACAAATGGGGGTGCAGCATCCCAGGCTCCAGGCACTCACAAGGCAGGTGCTGTTGTTAGGATGTCTGTCTTGCGGGGAAAGTCGTTGTCTAGGAAGGTCGAAGCCAGATTTTGTACGGCTTACATATTTGCATGTTTTGTTTTGGGAAATGTAGACCTCTGCCCAGTGAAGACCATACTTAGGGTTTGTAAGGATTAAATGTGCTCGGCCACCTAAGTCTCCCAGGACAGTGCCTGGCAGGGGATGAAACTGCATCAATGTGACCCTGAGGCATCGCCAGGTCACTGTCCTCTGTGAGACTGGACTGTGGCTTAGTTTTTGGGGCAGCCACTGCCTCTTCCCTCTAGATGAACCCCTGGCACCCCACCCACCCTACAGGCCCTCTCCCCACAGCGCTGCGTCCCAGCCTGTCCCACCCTGTAGTGGGCACCGCAGCCCCAGCGTGTGGTTTGGGTAGACATTACATACACCCCTGTTGCCGCAGCTGGAATGTGGCTTTCAGCGGGCAGCATGGGCGGGATTTGGAGGGGCTGTGGTGGAGGTGGCAGTTTGGCACTTGATAACTGAGGCGGGTCCAGGAACAGGGTGGGCAGGGCGGAGAGGGCCGTGAGTGGGTGAAGGAGGTGGTGGCATCCTTTCTTCGGCATCCCACCTGTATCCTTTGGGAGTCTTCCCCAGTGCCTCCAGGTCACCCTGGACTGGCGTTCTCCAGCCTTCCATCTCCTCACGGTCCTCTGCCCCTGGCTGGCTGTAATCTGCTTGGCATTCAGACTGTGTGTCCCTCAGTCCACTGGAACCTGCTGGCCACCTCGTGCTGCCCCAGCCAATCCTGCCGTTCTGTCTCCAAGCCCTGATCTAGCACTGCCCAACCACCTCGGCCCTGAACTCTCAACTCAGGCTTCACCCTAGACAGGCCCCTGCTCCCAATTTCATCAGCCGTGCGGATCTGACACAGAGTCCTGCCTCCAGCCACCGTGATCGTGGCCCTACAGAGGCCCCTCCTTCCCTAGGACGCTACTGCGTGTCCTCTGAGCTGCCTGTCCTCAGAGCTGCTCACCATGCAGTGCAGCCTACAGCTTCCCCTGTGGCCATGGTTTCCCTGCTGGGGAGGAGATCCAAGTGCCTGTCCCTGATATAGGAGTCCGTAATCCTCCCGCCCCCGTCATTCATCCCCAGGGACCCTGCGCTGTTGGTCACACTCCGCATCACTCTCTTGTATCTCTCCTGTCTTGCTAATGTCACCCACCCATGTCAGAGGTCTGGCTCTACGCTTGAGACGCCTGGGCATGTCCTGCACCCTTCTTGAAGCTGGGTTCCATATTCTGGATCCACACCCCATCTGCACCTCCAGGGGTGGCAGTTCTCTCTAGCCGTAGCCTCCAAAGTCTGTCATCGTGCCCCTCAGAAGGGGGCTGATGCTCAGTAGACCTCAGAAACTCATGAGGAGTGGCAGTGGCTTGTGACTGCTGAGGGCCCTCAGGCCCTCATCGTCACCACCTTATAGACAGAGAATCAGTGGCTGATGCCACATCCCTAGCGAGTCAGCTGAGCCAGAGTCTCTGAAAACCACTGAGACAGTGTGCCACATGTCCGATGCCAGCTCCTATGTGAGTGGGGATGGCTGGCTGGAGGAGGCATGTCATGGGCACGACGCTGTGATGAAGTGTGTCGTGTTCTGGTGCATCTGCATCCAAGCGGAAGCCAAACGTCCCTGAAGAATGCGGGAGTGCGAAAGTTCTAGAATTCAGGCATCAGGTTTAGCTGGGAGTCTCTCGAGGTCAGCGTTTTATGCTGTGGGGGCATGAAACATTCCATGTTTTATGAGTCCATGAGTTAAGAAATGCTGTTAGGTAGGAGGTTCCAGAT